GAATTTCAACCTGGAAAATAAATAATAACTATCGAAACTTATTTCCATATATACATTAAAGGGTTGTCACGAATAAGTGATTCCCTTAATAAGAAGACATTCAGAGACTTGCGTCACTCCTTAACATGAGTCAGACCGTAGCTTACTGACAAATGATACAGTAGAAAAAACAGTTTTTAAAGATAAGTTCACAAAATAAATATTGTATAATTTCAAGTATCCTAAAAATGAGCTAGGATCCCAAATTCCATAAGGTTTCTTTATAATACGTATTTCATTATAAATTGAATTAAATTGTTAACAAATTATGATCTGACAAATTAAGAGTCGCTCGAGTGCAAAACAAAAGATTATGAAAATAACTTACAAGAATGGTATTTCGATATCGAGCCTTTCTCCTTTGACTTCAATGGGGTCCAAACCAACCCCCTTAATAATGTTACTGATCAGTTCAATTACCCATTTGATTTGATCAACAACGATACTTTTTTGAGCTAGCTTATTTTGGCCAACTGAAATTCAAGAAAAACATTTCAATTCCATGAGAGAGTAGGATTTTTAAATGAGAAAAAAATGTTTTCACTTTAGAATGTATGTCATTCCGTCGAATGTAAAGTTTTAAAGTATTAAACGTTAAATGAAGTTTACACACCTATGACGGCACCCTCGCTATAAGAGGGCAAGGCGTAGGAGCCTGCGATCAAGAAGAGAACAGCGAAGACTTGGAGTTTCATTTTGTAAATAAATTACCTTTTGGGACATAAAACGTTTGATCAAATTATCATGAAATATAAAAATGAAAATATTTAAAAAATATGTATATACATACATATATTGCTTTTGACTCAACTCACCTGTATTGTAATATGCCTTGTACCATTATTTATTCCTCTTTTTATATGAACTATTATCATACTCCGATAAAGTAAAATTATATTAGGTAACAATGATCGCTTTTAGTGATAACTAACATTAAAATCGAAATCTTTTAACAACGTAGTAATCTGCGAATCGCCTAATTAATTTATCTGATAAAGTTTTATGTAAATCTAAGAGAAGTCCTTTTTGTTTAATTTTTCTCGCTAGTTCACAGTAATTTTTTTAATTGATTTATATTTTTGGTGACGTTTTTAAAAATATTACGAGTTTATTAAGACACAAAGTCCGCTTCAGAAAATTAATACCATTTTAAGTTATGAGTATATCGATAGGAATTCACAAAAATTTTGCAGTTGTTATTTTATATACCCAACATATCCCTTAAAAATATATATTTTTGTTTATAACGTGTTAGTGACAGAAATGTAGGAAATTCATAAAAGAGGTGATGATTTTTTTTTCATGTATTTTAAAATGCAGGGTAGGTTTTTAAATTTTGAGGGCAGCTATCATCACATCATTTTGTTAAAAGAAATTTTTGTAATGAGTACTAATAGCCTTGTTTGCCTTGAAATTTCCGGTATTGTTTTGTTTAGGTAAGCATTGAAAATTATATCAGTGATATAATTAATATAATAATAATTTGTAAACATTTAATGGCACGTTGCTTCAACTTAAATCTCTTTATATACTCTTATGTGTATTTAATAATGTGAAAACATTTCTTGCAGAAGTTTTAAAATAATAAAATACATATAGAAGTCTTAATACAATAAAATACATAGAGTTTTTAAAAGATCAATTTATTTACAAAAAATCTATTTTAATTTTATCCAATATTCAGAATGACCCACTGCTCAATTTATCCATTTACATCAAAAATCTAGTTCCCGGTCAATAATTCAAAAGAAGAATGCAAATAAATATTAAGGCTAAAATTAATCTAAGTAGTAGTTAAAAAACATTAAATTTTTTTTCCTAACTTAACCTAACCTTTAACCTTTTCAAATCTTTGTTTTAAGTGGGAGACATAATCTATTATATTATATTTATTTTGAGAAAATCTAGTCGCAATAATTTCTTTCACCTGAAGAAACTGTTTTCATCCTTCTCAAAGAAAAGTCTAGCCGAGTTGAGATAAAATGAGAAAACTCACTACATATTTTTTTACGATGCTCATATTGTTTTAGATCAAAACAATAAAGAGACAAAAATTAAACTCCCAATGGGAAACTGAAACAACTGATCTATTCGAGTACATCTGTGGGCAAAAGGCTTAAACATATGTAATGCGTAAGGACTTAATTAATTTTTACTATCAGCTATTTTGGTATTTAAATGATGGATATGCTGTCTTATACACTAATAACGTTAATAACTTAATTAATTATATTTCGGACTTTGGATAATAATTAATAAAAATAAACTTTACTGTCATCCTGTTTAGCTTGCTATTCAGAATATGGTCAGAATTTTTAAAAAATACTTTAGAAGCAACAAACTGTGTTTATTTATTCCTCACAAAACGTAAACACTTTATTTATTGTTATTTTAAACTAAGTTAGGGTGGAAGGCAGGGTACAGACTCGGTGGGAGTCATTGTTGGTGCGGACAGTATTACCTACAAATTGCCAAGAAACAATCTGTAGAAACGCAGAGCTCTGGCAAGTCCGAGTCACCCATGTCCCCGTCGGCCCTTCTGGGTACTGCTGCAACCGCGCAGACACGTGACCACCACCATGAGATACAGCTGAGCTGAGGGTGAAGAGCGAAAGGCGAATATTCTACGACTCAAAACAGAATCTACTCACCAGGGGGGAAACCTGAGATAAAACCGAGCACGCTCACAGGCTCTAAGATAACAGCTCCACCAGTGAGCTAGGGTATAGTGGGCTAATCACTCGCTTATCTAAACCCAAAAGATTACCGAAACCAATACAAGAAGATTAGGTGTGGAGCAACAACCTCCTTGCCGTTGCTCAGTGGCACAGAGGCGGTGGAAAAGATCAAGAATCGCCAAATCAAGAGAAGCTTTTGTGCAACTTCGTCCTGTATGGCAGTCGCGGAAACTGACCAGGAGAGTTTGTCAACTAGCTATGTGATCTCAAGAGACCGAAGTGGATGGCGGCATACTGTGGACGGCCCCTGCTCCATCTAGGGGACATAGGAGTAAAAAGAAAGATCTTAAATCATAATTTAATTTAAAATATACACTATTACCCCAGAACACTTGTCAACTCGATGTGTTAAAAATGTCACCTCCTTTACCGGCCCGTAGTTTTATTTATAACTTTGTTACGTATTCAGTTACTTAAAATTAAAAAATCTATGATCAAAGTTATAATCACGATTTTCTTAACTGTTTTCTTTATAGATTCATGCAGCTAATCGAAAAATATAATAATTTCTGTTAAATAATGAAATTAAACAATTAAATAAGGTTAATACAGGTATAATACATATTTTTATTGTGTGGTAGACAAGTGTATTTTTGCTCTTAAGCTACAACAGGGGCGTGTGATTTTTTATTTTTAACATATTTTGGTTTGGTAACTTATAAGTTTTATTCAGTGTTCTTTCATTTCTGAGTTTCTGTTTCTATCGATATTTTTACATGAGTTCGTATAACAGTAAAAAAACTTGGGTGGTAAATAATTAAGTAATAAAAATAGTAAATAATTAAGTAGTTATAAAACAAATAAGAAAAACTACACTACATCGTATCAATAGGACTCAGCAAAACTGAGTTGACAACATTATTTATAATACAGAAAACTCCGTTCTTTTTATTTTCAAAAGGAATATTAAATAATTTTTCATGTATATATTTTTTTATTTTTTGTACCGCAGCATTTTTCTTATTGTTATTCTTGTTTCATACGTTTGGATAGTGAATATATATGTAGTTTATTATGTACAAAAAAAAAATACTCTTCTAGAAATATTCGACTAAGTTGATGCTGCTCTTTTGAAGTTTGTAAAGTCAAAAAACAAACATGTCTTTATATAGCCAGGAGATCTTGTCTTCAACTTCTTAGAATGAATGCTTGGAGTACACCGATCGTATTCAGCTGTAAAGTATTGAGGTGTATACTTAATTGACATCGGAATCATTGAATTGTGTTCTTAAAATTCTAAAGAACAATTAGCTTAAAGAGGTCATATGATATAGAATGCTATTCGATGACAAAATATATTTGTCATTAAGAGTAATGTCAATTAAAAGAAATTTATCTAATTATATTATTATATAATATATAATCGCGAACAATTTATTTCTTCAAAGTTAATAAATATATTAACTTTGAAGAAATAAATTGTTCGCGATTTTTGAAATCAATCAAATTCTTTTAATAAAACAGATATCTGAAAAAACGTAATATAATATGTCATTTGGGAAACTAATTAACGGTATCGTGTGTTTTTATACTACATACAACATTTATAATCTGGAATGAAAGGAAGAATTGAAAAGCTCATGTGCTATTCTGATGTTTAAGCTATATTATTGACACGTTTCACTAGTTTATTTAACGTGCAAGAACAAAGTACATTAATACTTGCTACATTATTAGGATTTTTAAATGATAATTTTATAAATAAATAATTTCCTAATTTTAATTAGGTCCATCTGAGCCATTTAGTAATTCAAAAAGATTCTTTCAAACAGTTCACCCAGTAGTTTAAAAAAACTTGATTTTTAGCTCATCAATCTAGTGAATTGTAATCATGAGCCCACATTGAAATGATATTTTAGGTAAATTTTGGTAATTGACTCCTGTTATTAATTGTTCAAAACTTTTATTATTACTATACTAAACAGTTCGGTTTAACAATTATAATTTGAAGCAACAGTAATCACGGGAAGACAAGATTTTCTAGTTCTTGTCTAACAGACTCGACTCAAAAACAAACTTTTATTTTAAATTCATCATATCAGATATCTAAAGGACTAATAATATAGTCCAAGTCATAGTTCATTTACATTTAAGGCTTTCACGTTTTGATTGGTAAGAAAAAATATTTTTACTTAATAGATTTTATTTTTTAAGACGCAATGACATTTGAACTTAACTACATACATAGATATACATATATTAATAAATTTTAAATTTAAAAAATCAGGCCCAGATGATGCGGAGAATGAGACTGACAACGAATTCCAAGTATCCGTTGATGCGGTCCTGAAATACAAAATATTTAAATATTATTAAATGTAAAAACGACGGATTAAAAAAATATCATTGTAATGTAAAATATAAGATGTTGCTAGTTTCAATCTGTAGCAGACACACACCCGGTTTTCGTTGAAGTAATTGGGAATTCTTTCGTTAAGAATATTGTTGAGGATTCCAGAGCCATCAATGTTGTTGACTATGAATGTCAGGTCAGACTGAAAAAATAAAACATAAAGGTTAATAAGAAGTAACTTTAAAAATGTTAAAATAAAATCACAAAAAGGTTTATAGAAGAAAATTTTGTAATTAAAATGATTTTACAGGGGATACGGAGCCTAAAGAAAATATTTAACATTTAAACAAACCTGAATGCCACCAAGGCTAAGGTCGATTGTAAGGCTTCGTAGGGAAATGCCGCTGATGATACTGACATCAACGTTGACTTCAGCAGCGAGACGGATCGAGTTGATTGAAACTCTGAAAAGAAAAAGGGTGGTTTACAAATAAATATGAACAGTTTAAGTAAATATAGACAATATAGTCAATACTACGATTCCTTTACCTGCCCTTGAATTCAGCATCAAGGAGTTCGTAAATGCTTAAGACTTGGATGTAGAGGCCAGAGTTTCCTATAAGAAAAAACAGTTACCATTAAAAGTATGTTCCCAATTATTTTCGCCCTTGGTATTTTTTTTATTGTATGGCTGTGAGTTATAAACATATATGTGATATAATATTACTAACCAACTTCCAAAACGATCTCTGGGAGAGAAACGTCGAGGTCCAGTCTGTTAATGATGTGATCGTACTCTAGGTTGTGAATCTTGATGTTACTGGTACCGGCGAATCGGAAGTTTTCAATGAAGGCATTGAATTTCAACCTGGAAAATAAATAATAACTATCAAAAATAAACGAAATAAATATTGTATAATTTCAAGTATCCTAAAAATGAGCTAGGATCCCAAATTCCATAATATGTTTCTTAATAATATTTAACTATAAATTGGATTAAATTGTTAAAAAATTAAAATCTTGAAAATTAAGAGTCGCTCGAGTGCATAAAAAAAAATTATGAAAATCACTTACAGGAATGGTATTTCGATATCGAGCCTTTCTCCTTTGAGTTCAATGGGGTCCAAACCAACGCCCTTGATAATGTTACTGATCAGTTCAATTACCCATTTGATTTGATCGACAACGATACTTTTTTGAGCTAGCTCATTTTGGCCAACTGAAATTCAAGAAAAACATTTAAATTCTATGAGAGAATAGGATTTTTAAATGAGAGAAAAAAAATTCTCTTTAAAATATGTGTCATTTCTTCGAATGTAATGTTTTAAAGTATTAAAAGTTAAATGAAGTTTACACACCTATGACGACACCTTCGTTATAAGAGGGCAAGGCGTAGGAGCCTGCGATCAAGAAGAGAACAGCGAAGACTTGGAGTTTCATTTTGTAAATAAATTACCTTTTGGGATATAAAACGTTTGATCAAATTATCATGAAATATTAAATAGAAAGGACAAATCAAAATATTTAAAAAATATATATTTTGTATTTGACTTAACTCACCTGTATTGTAATATGCCTTGTCACATTGTTTATTCCTCTTTTTATATGAACTATTATCATACTCTGATAAAGTAAAATTATATTAGGTAACAATGATCGCTTTTAATGATATCTAACATTAAAAACGAAATCTTTTAATAACGAAGTAATCTTCGAATCGCCTAATTAATTTATCTGATAAAGTTTTATGTAAATCTAAGAGAAGTCTTTTTGTTAATTTTTTCTCGCTAGTTCACAGACAAAAATATAATTTTGTTTATAACGTGATAATTACAGGAATTTAGGAAAATGATAAAAGGGTAACGAAAATTTGTTCACATAATTTAAAATGTAGTTTGTGTTTAAATTTTGAGAATAGTTATCATTATGAAATCTTGCTAAAATAAATATTAAAATTAGTCATAACAGTGATCTCTTTTTTGCCTTGAAATTTCCGTTTTTGTTTTGTTCAAGTAAGCATTAAAAATGAAATGAGTAATTTAATAATAATATGTAATTCGTAAGTTTCTTATGACATGTTACTCCAATTTAAATATTTTTATACATTCTAACGTGTAATTAACAAAGTAGGAACATTAATGAAGAAGTTTTGAAGGTTGAAATAAAAATATATGTATACGTTTTTCAGTCATAAATGGATTTACAGTAAATCTACTTTGAGTAAGTTAAATTTAATGCTGTTTATTTATTAATTTATATGTCTTGGAAACTTTCAGATATTTTAGAGCTACGATGTTTTTTTTAGACTCATCCCAAAGCTATTGCGATCCATGAATAAAGCTGATGAATCAGCCAATAGTGCGAGACTGAGTGACGAAATTAACGCTTTATAACGGCTGCGCATGTAACTTTGACAAAAGTTTTTATTAAAATCATAATTGGGTTTTTGAATTATTTTTTTTTTTGTGATAAATGGAAAGATCATATATAAGTTTAATAACAAAACTATTTTTATTTTATTTTTTTTTGCAATATTTAAAAAGTTATTTCAAAATAAAAATTAAATTTTAAATTCAGTACCGAAGACAAGCCGACAGCTCGTGAATAAACCCGAGCGCGTGTGACGTCACAATGTTAGTTTTTGCTCATTGTAGCATACAGAGATATAATAATTAGTACAGTGTTTTGAGTTTTTATCTAGTAAATTCTGTTGGCATTGTTAAATAATCAAAAGTTTTGTACCATTATGTACAAAGACTACAAAAACAACTCCTGAAAAAATGTTTTTAAATGTTCCACAAGACGAAAAACGTCGAAAGAAATGGTTTCAAGCAGTGCATCGAGATTATTCAAAAACAAAAAATCATTTTTTTTTGTTGTGAAGATCATTTCGTTGTAAGTTTTCATAATAGTATTGTTATTAATTATTATTTATCTAAGTGTATAAATCGAATAAGTATAGTTCAATAATTAATTTTTTTACCTGGGCTCCAAATCATAACCTTTAGAATCGTAGCATTAAAAAATTTTAATTGATAATTCAAAGCGATTAAATAGTAAATCTATATATATGTTTGTCTAATAATTGGACTTCAATTAATAGATATTTTCATAATTTTATAACATTCTAGGTTCTGTATCAGACTACATTTAAATTTTTAAAGTACATATATGTTATTTTGGTTTTTTTATGTTATAATAACATTTTATTAATAATGATTTAATGAAATAATTATTAATTATATTTAATAGAGAATAAATACTAATTTTCATTTAGAATAGTATTTTTTGACAGACTTACCTTGATGTCTTAGCACCTCGAACTTCAGCAAAATTAAACCGCACTTTTTAAAAAATTAGTTATCATAAAAATATATTAACATCAGGAATATTATCCGATTTTGCTTTTATAAATCCTTTATCACACATAGTCGAAATAAACTTTTCAAATCGTTTTTCACTAATAAATTTGAGATATTTTTATCAAGTTAAAGATAATAGCCATAAACACTGTACTATTATGAAATTGCTTTAACATTATGACGTCACAAGTATGCTGACCAATCATGGCGCGTTTACAGTCACGTGATATATTTTTGAATTTTATCAATTTTTAATTGTTTATAATTAATTTAAAAAATATATTTCAAGTTTTTTGCATTAAAAATCCAATATAATTAATAATAAAGTTTTAAAATACATAAAAAAAATCAATACTTTTTTTTTTTCAAAAACCCAATTGTTGAAAGGCCTATTTTTTAAGTAAGGAAATTATCGTAGTTCGGAATCTTTTTGACGTTACTGTTCGATTATATATATTTCGTTGAGATTAATTGACCACCTAAGGATAATCCCGGATCATTTGAGGTATATTTTGTATATCGCCTACTTAGACACAAACAGTGACATTTATTTGATTTTATTCTCAATCCATCCGACCACTCACAGAATTTATTCTTTTTTTCAATAGTACTGGACAGTGTTTAGGGTGACGTGTCAGTATTTATGATGGTCACTGAAGGCTAAAATGGATTCTGTGTATTTTATTATTAAATTTGAACCGATACCCCCATTATAAACGCTTAGTAAATCCGAATACGATTAGTTTTATTTCAATGAATACTGGCAAAAATCTTAGATCTCATTAATTAATTATAATATAGAATTGACAACGATTAATATATTATCACTGCTATTAAAAATTAGCAAATAAAATTGTTAGACGAATACACAACACCTTATGCCTTTATAGAAAAATAGGACCATCTATGACGAACAAGTTTTATTTTGTTTGTGAACGAAGATTATGTCCAGGAATGGAGTATTGAAGATAAGTTTTACTTCAATCAGCAAAGTATATGTTTTTATTTATTCCTTATAAATCGTTACCATTCAATTCATTGTTATCTTACATCAAATATATATTATTACCTCAAGACGCTTTCCGGTTCAATGTGTCAAATTGTTTTGGTATGAAATTGTTTTCTGTTCTACATATGTATGTATTATATATACATTTATTCTGCATTAATAAATAATATTATACAAATATTAAAACGTACATACATTTTCAACTTCAGGTTTTATCTATAGTGGAAATAAGAAAAATAATATTATCTTATCTTTTTAATTATACAAAGCCGGAAATCGTAAATTGTAAACTCATCAATTAATAAGCATGATAGACAATTTAAAAATCAGACCCAAATCCGACTTTTTTGTTGTAGTTTGTTTATCGGTCGAATAAAGTTATCACGTCTTGTATTTTGTATTATACATATTAACAAGGTAAAAAAATAAAGCAAGTAATTTTGAATCTATTTCATACCGGTGAGGTCATTAGCTTGATTGATACCACTTTACATCTGAGCTGGTTTAAAAACCACTAGGTTGTTACAGTGAAGCATAAATAGAGAATGCAAGACCTTGATAATCCTTTTTTTGATGATGCAGGGAAACTGTTTTTACGAGCCGTCCAACCGGCCTTGGTGGGGCCGGAAGGGATGTGTGAGGCTCGGCCTGGGCAGCCCTCTTCTCACTAAAACTACTGTGAAAGCCATCGGCCGTTATGTCGGTGTACTCCAGATCTGTCAGCGACAGGCCGGTCCTGGCAAAGACCGGACTTACTCCCTCGAAGTATGGGTGCGATCACGGCAATTGGGATCGCCCCGAAGACGCCGGGTTTTCTCGCGAGCCGGGTTACCAAGCCGACCCCAGCCCGTTGCACAGGGGTGCTATTGGAGGCGTTGGTATTGCCTCCGTCTCACCCCAGTACGTCGTCTGCGGAGGGAGGGTGCATCAGATACACCCTTCCTTTCCCGCTCAGACGCCTCCTTCGTGGACATGACCGTCTCACAGAAGAAGGACACCGCTAACCAGGACCTATCACTCTTGAGCATCTTCTCCGTGATACTCGAAAGCGACAAGTCCACTCCGCCGAGACCCGCTACGAGGTCTTGGCGCTGCGCAGCCTTTCTCGGGCACATCTCGAGGGTGTGCTGGGCCGAGACCTTGATAACCCTTGCGTTAACCACCATTAACTCAGAAGAATAGCCGTATTAATAAAAGATGATCAGTTACAAAGTCAAAAGGCGAGACAATCAAACCCAGGGAATACTCCAATAGTAGTGAAAAATCTTAATTTATTTTATTTTATTCCAGTTAACCCAATGGTATCGCGTGAACTACATTATAAAATTGTACTAAATAATTTAAACTAAAAAAACATGTAAAGCGGTATAGCTTTAAGATTACCATCTGAAATTCTTATTTCAAACTATACATATTTTTTTAAAAATCTTTCTCATAATACAATTAATGCTCCCTTCCACTACGACCAAATAGAGCCAAATTCGGTAAATAAATTACTTTAATAATTAGACAATAGGACGACAATGTTAAATTTCTAGCATTTTACCACTGCTTTTCTTAATTCCCCTCAAACCTATACATCTCTTTCTACTGGGCCGATCACAGTAAATTCAGCATGATTGGCAACTGTTGAGCCTATTGTTTTCAAAGTGTGCCATGACGATTCCAATCAATATGCGTTCATAATGTAACAAGGTGAACAGATAATTAAAATTTAACTATAAAAGGTCAAAGGACACTTATAATTTCTCTGATAGTGTATCTCGCCAGAAAATAAAAGCAAACAGTACTTGTTTTTTCTTTTTTAGTTAAATTAATTTCCAAACACTTTTAGAAAAGGTGCGATAGTAAGGACTGACTGGAGTTTATGAGGTTGAGCAGAGAGGTTACCGCTATAAAGACCAAAACGTTGAAGAAGACATTTCGTTCATAAATTTATAGATTTCATTTGAAATTAATCTTCCATTCGAATTACAGATGATCAAAATTTATTCGTATTGAAAAATAGAAAAAATATAATAAGTATATAATTTCTTTTTTTAAACTTTTCTTTGTTTAATTTTTGACAA